TATATATATATATGGATAAAATTAATATAGAAACGGTACTAATTCATTTAGAAGAGTGAAAAATCGCCATACCATTTTTAACTCTAATGATGCTTAATTAAATTTGTTAATGGGAAAACTAAACTAACTGAAATAAAAAAAACTGATCACAGGTTACCCATTGGGAAAATGGTTGCTGTCTAATATTTTTCTTGTTGTTATATTCACCTGAATTAATATTGAAAGCGATCCAGTTTAAACTGTAGGTTCGAATTTCTGATTCTTCATTAAAAAATAAAAACAAAAATATCGTTCAAATGATGAAATTCTCTTTTATTCACAACTCAAGAAGTATTTATATGATATCTCTGGTTCCATGTCTCAAATAAAATTTATTGCACAACAAAATTAAAAGTGAAAAAAAAAATTCTTAGAAAATTATCAAACAGTAGCTATCGCCATAGCAACGCATGCAATGATGACACATTCGTACTATTTACTATTACCCTTGAACACAGTTGAAAAGTGTGATGGCGTCCAAATAAGGTGAGCGCGTCATCAAACCCCAAAAAAAACCCAGTTTGGCAATAATCAAAAAATAAGTTTTTGTACTAAAATGCAAAAAAAAAAAGTTAAATGGAGAAATGATATCAATTCTTTTAAGAGAACTTAAAAAAAATTCAAAAACTATTATTGATGCCAATGAATTTTGGTATTAGGTATTAATTGAAAAAAAAAAGCTTCATACTAAGAAATAAAATGATATCAATTCCTTTAACGTAAAAATAAAAAAATACCCATATCTTTTTGAAGTCAATGATGTTCGATTAATTATATTAATCGGAACAACGGAACTCATTGAAGAAAAATAATAATAAGCTTTGTTCTGTAAAGCAAAATTAATGAAGTAATGGTACTAATTTGACTAGGAGAAAAGTAAAAAATATTGTCATACCAATTTTGACGCCAATAATGTTAGAACAAATTTGGTTATAAGTTCTAAATGACATATTAAAGTAAGTTATGCATTAAAAAACCAAATTGATGGAGAAATGGTATTAATTTGGTTAGGAGAAACGTAAAAATCTAATATACTATAGATATCCCCTGGGATGCTTAATTATTTTTGGTAATATGTTTTACTGCATTTTGGTAATTGGTGCCATTTTGAGAGATACCAAATACATTAATACAGGTACAAAGCATTTTAGTAGTAAATTTGTACAAATGTATTTAAATAAAGTACAAAGTATTAATAAATACATAGCACTCTATAAGTAATTAAAACAGTACTAGTACGGTGTATTTGTTTATTGTAGATACTGGGGTTATTATAGATAGGTTTATCATGACCTATCGAAGTTGTAAAAACAGGAGAAAGTTGTTTGATTGTGGTAAATTTAAAATATAAAGAAAATCTCTCGATCAATAGATATATGCAAGATGATACAGCATATAGTTAGTCTTTATTTTGATGAGATGAGTTACTAAAAACGTGTTATATTAAATCTAATAACATAAAATCACAGAGAAGAACAACGAATAATAATAAATAAAAGCAATGCAATTATTTTAGTTTAATTAATTGTGTTGGTATATGTCTTTCAGGTTTGGTCCTATATCGTGATACTGTTCTGTACTGATTTTGATTTATTGTTTTTTTTCCTACCCCGTTGGAAGAACTGGTTTTATACCAATATTTAAAAAAAAATATTCAGAAAAGTTTTAAAAGTTCTGAACTACTTTGAAGTATTTGCTACATTTTAGAAACGTTAAATAATAGCCAATCTAATGAAAAGTTAATTGGCAACTTTTATTTCATTTTTTTAAATACTTTTTTGCGAATAAGAGTATGAATGCAATTTTTTCAGTAGCTAATTAATATTGTCATGCATTTTTCACTTTCTATTTTCTATTAAAATGTGTCAGATCGAATTTTGTTACCTAATTTTAAAAAAAATTACAACCTTATTGTTTGTAATTTGTTAACCAAGGTCCTTATTCTCTCAGTTACCCGATTTCGTAGTATTGTGCCTGATTTCGTAGGATTGTGCCAGTTTTGTGCCAGATTTTGCAGTATTGTTCTGTACTGGTTTTGATTTATTGTTTTTTTCCAGCCATTGGAAGAACTGGCATTATACCAATATTTGAAAAAAAAAGAGTGTTTGAAAAAGTTTTTAAGCTTCTGAACTACTTTGAACTATTTAACTTTCATTATATTTTTTTAATACTTTTTTACGAATAAGAATACAAATGCAATTTCTTCAGTAGCTAATTAATATTTTCAGGCACTTTTCATGTACTATTTTAGATTGAAATGTGTCAGATCAAATTAAGTTACCTAATTTTAAAAATATTCACAACCTTAAAGTTTATAATTTGTTTATCAAGGTCCTTCCTCTCTCAGTGGCCTAGGATGGGCCAGTCTTCTTTAGAACTATTCGTAACTAGTTAGAATTTCGTAGAATTTGAATCCAGATGAACCGATCTTTGACTTTGTCTTTCCATCTAGTTATTTTCAATGATTTTAAATGACCATTGAGGCAATTTAACGAAGTGAGGGTAGTCTTCTTTTTAGAATGCCGGTTGGTAGCTTCTAGTCCATACTAACCTTTGGATGCAATATAATTACAGTTCGTTCACCAACAGTTGGCACTTGGCTCCGCCTTCATCACGTGGTATCTGACGATACTATTTCGTTATTTTCTGGAGAAGGATGTGAACAATCATGAACAAGGTTGTTATTTGATGATCGTATTACAATAATATTTAATTTGCAATCTTTATGTGCATTTTTTTAACATTAAATGCTGCACAAATGTGATGATATTTCTCTCTTTTGAGTGAATAGTTTGTCCTTTTTTGAGACATTATGCTGGGAAACAGCAGTTTTTAAATTTAATAAATATTTAATTAGCTAGAGTAATAATGGGTATAATAGCAGATGACAAAGCGAAGTAAGTGACTGAAAAAGAATTCGCTGTTTGCATTTAGGGCGCATTAAGGGTTGTCTCAATTTCAAGAGCGGTGATGTTTCTCCTCTTACTCTCACGTTGAAATGAACTCTGCGACCGAGGAGGTGGAGCCAAGTGACAACTCCTGGTGAACGAACTACAACTATGATTGGATGTTTGTAAACTTAATAAATTTTATAATTATCATTCTTTTCCGAAATCCGTTTACAGGAACACTTCCAGAACCACTTCTGAAAATTTTTTCTTTATTAAGTTCAATAAAGCGCTTTTCAGTGAATAAAATAAAACAAAAAGTATTCAAATATTCAGTGTGTAGCAAGAGAACTTGGACAAAGTTTTCGCATCATAAAATATAACTTAACTAATTTCTTTTAAATTTACGAGCTCCTTTATTTTTTTGTCTATTACTTTACTTATAAAACATTCTTAGTATCTCTTAGTTTACGTATAATGTTTTTAGCTTGTTTATAGTGTCAAACAAAAGATCTGCTATTTTAGAGTTGCTCCAGCAAGGGAAGGGTGAAACCGTTTATTTACTCCGTACACAATCGTTGTGGACCAAAGTTTGGTTCTCAAAATGTGTTCCATGGAATCCTAGTGTTCCACGGAAGGGTGACATGGGTTCCGAGAAACTGGATATTTTTACTCAATAATAATATTCATATCCAATCAAAAATCAATAATTTAATATTTCGTTTGTTTATGTGACTGTCTTATGCAAAATGTAACTGTAAAAAAGTAGCAAAATTTATACATATATATATATTTCAATAGCAGTACATTGAATAAATTATGTGAAAAGAATATGCATTTATAAAAATTTCTTAAATATTCCTCATTTTTTCAAAATAACTAAATTCAAGAATGAAGAATTAGTTTTTTCTGATAATTATTCTCATTGTTTATAAAAGTTTTTTTTTATTAAAAAAAACCATAGTGCAGCTTATTTTATTCATTTCAGCATATGCATACACTATGAAAAAATTCGTATTATTAGATACTTCAATCTACTCATTAAATAGTTTCAAAATTATAAGTATTAACTTATTTTTTGTTAGTATATTCACAGCTGCTAATTAACTTTTTTTAATAATGTCGGGAGTTTCGTCAAAAAAAGCTCGATCATTTAGGGCTTCTATAGTCCAAAAAAATTGCCAACCGCTGTTCTAAAGCAAATTTACTATTATAAAGCAAATCATCCAAATTTATTAATTAGTAGTAAAAATTTACTCTTATTAATACTTGTTACATTTTGTTAATTTACTTATTTTCAGTAAATTTATATTAGAAATTGTTTGTCACGGTTTGCTTGCCACACCTTGTAATAATCAAGTGCATAATAATTGAGGAAAATGTGCTCATATAATTCGCTGTAGAGTTACACGGTGATATTAAACCCTTAATTTGCTTTACACTGTAGGAAAATTCAGATTGGACTGCTTTCGCAGAATCCCTACGCGCTGATGTAAACAATAAAAAAGAACGCATCGCATGTTTGGAAGAGACCCTGGGACTAAAGGCAGATGAGTTTGCAACGAATCCTGCAGAAACACAGAAGCGACTTCAGAAGGTCGCCGAAACATTCCAACAATTGGAAGAAAAAGAATCGAATGAAATTGAGAAAAGGATGAACCTTATTCAATCCCAGGCATCTGAAATTCTAAGGCTGCATGCCTTGGTAAATGTCGAAGAACGCAACAAAATTGTTCGCAGAGATATATTGTAACACTCTGTTAAGTAAACTGTTTGCATTTCTTTCTAGAATAAGTAGTATAAGTTTCTGAAATCGTAATCCGTTGGTGTCAGTAAATCAAATTTTTCAATAAAAAATCGATTTTACTTTTTCTTAGTTAATAGATCGTCTAAGCTTCAACCCTTTGAAGCAGAACGTTGATTAATTAAGAATCATCATTTATTAACGAGCACCATCCAGCAAAATATTTTAATTTATAATGATAGAAAATAAATTGTTTAACCCGTAATAGAGATTTAAAGTTTCCTTTCAAATAGACATCAAACTTACATATGCTTTTTATGCAGAATAACATCAGTAAAATTAAACATATTTATTTAGTTAATTTTTATTGCGAATGCTTTGCTTTTCTGATTACAAGGGAGCCTTTTTTTCCCTTTCAAAATTTTAATATTCTTTCTTAAGTTCTTATTTAAACAAAAAATTTATTTAGTTAGCAAATAAAACTTCCATATACAAATAAAAATAGCTGAGATTTCAAGGAAATTGATAAAAGAAATGATTAACAAAGCAATATGCGGATTGCTTTATTTATTTTAATACTTAGAGAGTACTTTAAAAGAACCGCATTAAATAGAATAGGTACTTTAAAAGAATTAAAAAAAGATTCTTTTATTGGTAGTAATTCAACTACGTTAAAGAAAAAAATATCATTTCAACAGTATTATTGGCTTCAATTTATTTTTCAATTTTCAGGAGTTTAAATATGTTTAGGACTTAAAAAGAAAATTGAATTAAAAATTAAAATATTTGCTTCATTTAAATGGTTGTTCAAAGCAAAATAATGATGTTTTTTTCATTCTTTCTTAAGTTGGTTTTGAAATTAAAAATAGAATAAAAAAATTTAAAATAATAAAAAATAAGAAAATTCAAAAGTATATTAAGAACAACTTAGGGAAAAAACTATTAATAGTACTCTAGCTAGAACAAGTAATTGCCAGAGTTGGGTGTCGATTACAGTAATCGATTACAACTGTAATTGATTACAGATTATCACTGCTATGTAATTAATTACTTGTAATCACGATTACAAGTAATCATAATTTTTGATTACATTAGAGTAGAGCAAAAATTTAATCGATTACATTTGTCAATTACAGTAATCAATTACTTGTAATCATGATTACAATGTTTGACTACAACTGTAATCGTGACTATACTCAATTACTGTAATCAATTATTTGTAATCATGATTACAAACATTCATAATTTTGATTACAGCTGTAATCGTGATTACATATCCATATTACTTGTAATCAAGATTACAAGTAAAGACAAAGTAATCACGATTACTTGTAATCGTGATTACAAGTAAGTAATCAAAATATATGATTGTATGTAATCATGATTACATGTAATCTAAATTCACGATTGCAAGACTATTGCATACTTATATATGATTATATTTTACAGTAGATAGTATAATGTATCCTATAATGATACATTTTGTACGTATACGTATGTATGAATGAATATGACTAAAATGTATGCACAGATGATTTTATTAATGCATATGTACAGACATTTTAGTTACACACATATACATACACTTATATTGCTTGTATAAAATATATGTATGTATGCATATAGCAAATAATTACATATACATGTACAAAAAATAAAGAGATGTACATTAATGCACAATGAATATATGCATTTTATGCAAACACTTGTGTTCAATGTATTTATCCAAATATGCATATATGCATAATACATTTGTGTACGATTGTACGTACATTGGGCATATTTATATTTTACAGATACACATGCATTCGACATGCATAACATATGTATATAATACATACATTTGACATGCATACCTCGTACAGATGTACATAATGTACAGATGTACATTCATATAATGTACATATGATGTAGTGTACAGACAATGTTCTTATAATGTACATATATTGTACATATGTGCATACATATAATGTTCTTATAATGTACGTACATTGTACATATAATCATACATATGTTGGACATAAATCTTTCGTACAAATTTTACATGTGTACATACTTGTTATCCTAATATATGTAATATGTACAATGATTGTTTCCACACATGTACAATACTCGCATGTTCCATTTATGCATATCCATATGTACTATATATGCAAGTACAATGCATAAACATACATTGTACATACGTACATACATTACATGTGTACAGATGTTGATACATTGTTTTAACGTATATATACAAAATATGTATATTCAATGAATATGTATGCATGTATGCAATACATTTATGTCTAAATATATGTATAATGTAGTAAATAAAATGTATGTAAGTTAACTGAAAATGATTCAAGCAAGTTAAATAACAAAATCAAAAGATATTTAAATTTAGTTTTCAGCTTTATTTCTTCTATGTCATTTTAAAAGTGTTAGAATAAAAAATAATTTTCTAGTATTTTAATAAAATGTTTGACACCACAAATTAATTTTTTTGTAACCTATGCATAGTTCATAGAAATTTTTAGATGGCGAAAAAACGGTTAATTTTATATTAGGAAATTAAAATAAGATAATCGTTTGCTTTCCTAAATATATGATAGAGTTTTATATGTCATAGAATAAATTTTAAAACAAACTTTAATAACTCTGCTTATGCAAATTTTTTTAATAAATTCCCAATGTGTGTATACATTGTAATTACATATATTTAAATGCAAGCATGTATTTTTACATTACATGTAATTACGTACATGTATGCGCTTCATGTACATACGCATATTGTGCATACAGCCATTTTTTGTACATCCATACATCACATGTGCATATATATTAACAAAGTATATAGTTATTTAAGTACATACGTTGTGTGTACAAGTCATATATCAATGTACAAGTAAATGTATTTGTATAAATGTATACATTTTATTTACGTAACTATGTATATATAGTGTAACTTTAAACAACATTCTTACATATTGTAAGTAAATACGTACAATGTATCTATAGACATACATTGTATATAGTGATATTGTCGTAAATTTATGCAATGTATGTACTTACGTACATAAATGCTAGCATACGTATACATATTATTTTCATATACGTTCATACATATATTGCCTGTGTATACGAACATACAAAACATTGCATTTGCATACAGACTACCATACATGTGTGCATCACACCCATTCTATAAATACATAATTATGTGTACTAAGCATTTACGTTTTGTATTATGTATATTACAATATAATTATGTATATCATACATACAAACAACATTTGTGCAAACATAGCTCCAACGTTTGTGCATTGCCAGATTGCAAAGAATGAAATCTTGTTAGGAAAATATTTTAAATCATTCTTGAAAAATTTCCCGTTCATGTAAGTTCATTTGAATTCGCTACTCGCTTTATAGAATATGCTTTATGTTTCATTCTGTTTTTTCTTTATATTTTATTTTCTGTTTTTACGTGTTATTTTTACTTATTGTGTTCTATTTTATATGTTGTAATTTTTTTTTGTAAAATTCGTTGAGTGCTCCTCACACTATTGTATTGATATATTTTGCTTTGGTTATATTGATACAATATTAGAAAGCACTCTTTTTCGTGGATATAATCGTGTGTACTGATGAAGAATCTTTTATTTTCCCGATTTTTTAAAATTTTTGTCCTTTTCTTCGGATTGTTTTTTTTCTTCCGGTTTCTTGTTATTTTTATTTCAATTATTATTCCCCCCCCCTTCTTTCCTTGTTCTGTAATTTTTCCCTTGTTTTCTCTACATTTTGAACTTATTTTATGAGCTCTATCTACTTGCAGCTTATACGCAATAAATAAAACTTTCTTTTTTTTGTTATTTTNAAAACTAATCCAAATTTTTGAAAAAGAAAAAAAATACTTCTTCATTATGTCAAAACACAATTATGTGCCGAGTTTCGTGCCTGGGCGAGGCTTCTGGGGCGATATATTGTGATTAAAGACAGACACACAAACAGCCGCGTTTATTATTATGTATAGATTAAAGTATGTGGTGTTTAATTTAAACATGATGGCAAGTGACTATCTCAGGTTGTTTTTACACATTAAATTTTGTACCTCCAGTTTTTGGTTAATTTTTTTTAAACATGATGGCAAGTGACTATCTCAGGTTGTTTTTACATATTAAATTTTGTACCTCCAGTTTTTGGTTAATTTTTTTAAAACATGATGGCAAGTGACTATCTCAGGTTGTTTTTACACATTAAATTTTGTACCTCCAGTTTTTGGTTAATTTTTTTAAAACATGATGGCAAGTGACTATCTCAGGTTGTTTTTACATATTAAATTTTGTACCTCCAGTTTTTGGCTAATTTTTCACTTGAATCTTCCCTTGTTTCGCCAATTACTGGAAAAATTTCGACTTTAAGGTCATGGAACATTGTAGCTTGTTGTAGTAAACCAGACATGTAACCAAGTGAATTAGATGTTTTGGTGGCACATCTTGGTGGCAACCGTCATTGAACAGCCGATTCAATTGCGAGTTTACGACTTTCAAAGTTCGTTACGGTAGTCTTGTAACTTTGAACCCAATCCAAAAGACAAGGGAACTAATGGATCAAGTAATGGAAGAATTTTGTCTTCGGAAAAATGATAGAACTAACCCGCATTTGCGTTACGTGAAGAGGAAAACATCCCACGGTTACCCTGACGGCAAATGGACTCGAACGCATGATATGACTACCACTGATGACAATTTACATTAGTACTGTGGTCGGAGTGAGCCAGTAGCGGAATTCGCATTGACCAGTCATCGCTGGAATTCGAGCCTCATTGGGAGGAAAAAGCTTTATCCCCTGAGCCCCCATGGCTCTTGGTGACTCATCAGCATTTCTGGAAATTACGCAGTCCCTGAACTTATCTCTCCCTGTCGCTCTGGTATGTTGGACAAAATTGTTAAAACTACTTGTCACCCACACCAATAACTAATTCAATTTACGCAGTAACTATCAATAAAATTAATTTTTACTTTAATTGCTGCTTTTACAGAAGATAATTTTCTAAACACTTATGGCAAGGAAAATAATGACTACTTTTTACCCTGATTAATTTTTAATTGAAATCCAAATTTCTTCAAATCCTTGTTAAAAATGAAGCACAAAATTATTC